AATTCTTCAACATTTCAATACTCATTCATTGCATAAGCATTCCTATTTTTTCTTAGCTATTTGAGAGCCAATTCTTGAAGAAATTGTCGTGTTCTTGAGCGTTTACTAGTTCACTCATATCTACTCTTTGTGAGAGTTTTATTCCTGAGTGTTTAAGTGTTTTCATACACTTTAAGGGAGTTTGTTCCCTTGTTTTAAACTCGAAGGAAGTTCCTTGTTCCTTCGTAAGAAGTCTTGGAGTGCGGTATCTCCGAGCAAAGGTGTTGAGGCTCGTGTGACTCGGGTTCTCAAGTTGTATCGGTTTGTTAAGCACCCTTAAGCTTAACGGAGTTAGTGTAGCTCGAGAGAGTCTCTCGGGAGGCTGGATTAGCCACACGTTGTGGTGAACCAGGATAAAATCCGGTGTGCTCCTTCCTTGCGCTCTTTACTTTAACGCTCTCGTTTTAATTTCCTGCGATTTTGTTTTAAACGCTATTCAACCCCCCTCTAGCGTTGGGCCTATATTCTAACAAATAAGAATGAGGAAAGGAGAGAAATATATACACCATGCATGGTCTGGACTAGATGCTACGAAGCACTATAATATAGAAAGTGCAAGAAGACATATAATTAAGCACGTGTTTTTACAAATAGTTAAGCATATTTAATTTCTCCATGATCCATTAATGAAAAAGGGTTACAAGAAGGGAACAAAAGGAAGAACAACTCTTTTTCTTATATTTGTATGTCAATGACCTATCCATATATTTAAAAACGTAACTTTTATATTTGTGCAACAAGGTTTTTGCTACTAGCCAACATATAATTATTTTAATTTTAAATACAATAGATTTCTCTAATTCAGTGTGTTTCTTTTAAAATAGCCTTTGACATTCTCCCTAGTAAACTACTTTTTTAGGTTGATAGCTAGGCTAAAAAGTTAAGTCTCTAAAGTCCTTTTTTATTACTCCGTTCGTCATAAAACATTCTTTCTAATTAGTATTCACACGGTCAACCTTTAATCATTTTCTTTATCTATTTTCATCTATTAATTGATACTCATAAAATAATACCCCCTCCGTCTCTATAGGTTCTTCCACGTTACTCATTTAGAGGGTCAAACGTAATTCACCTTTGTTTACCTATTTTCATTAATATTTGATAAAATAAAATTGTCTTGGAAGTATTTGTTTTGTAATTTTTTTATGTAATCTTGAAATATATAATATTTATTTTTTAGTTTTCACAAATTTTTACAAAACATGAAAAAATAACTTCACTCAAACATCATAATGCAAACTGGAAAGTGTAACGCCTCGAAACCTAGCCTATATAAATTAATTAATTAAAAATATTTAATTAATTATTGAGATGGATCTATAATTAATTAGAAATATTTGTCAATAAATTATAAAAGTTATACCGTTATGTAGGGTTTGACGAGTCGAATCCTAGGGTGGAAACAGATCTGAATTCTTAGCAAGTTCGCTCGAAAAGTGTATTTCCCTAGGTACGTTATTTAATTACGAAGCACGAATCCCTAGCTTATTTAAATTATCCATTATATGTTTAAAACCCCACACTGCACAACTTCACTCCCTTTCCCTTTTTAGGATCGTGAACAATAACATAGAAATAATGAAGAAGAGGAAGAAGAAGAAGAGAAGAAGAAGAAGAGAAAGAAGGTCGTTGTTGCCATTGCTGGTCAACCGTTGCCATCTCCCCGCTCAACCCTTGCATTCGTGAACTAGTTTCATCGTTTCAAGGTGAGTACGTGGAAGTGGAACTAGGGTTGTAAACGAACCGAATCGAAGCAAATATCGTAATATTTGAATTTGTATTTGATTAATTTTTTCGAATACGAATCCGAATACGAATTAAAAATAAGATTTGTATTTGTATTTGATTAATATTGAAATAGTTAACGAATCCTAAACGAATATTTGAATAATCATACTCCGTAATTTATATGTCGATTTTGAGTGATTTAACTTACATTATTTCTTATACCATATCTAAAAACATTAATACATTTTACATAAAAAAATTATATTTTATAAAATATAACTATTAAAAATCGCATGCTTTAAATTTTTGTATAGCATTAATATCATGAAATCTTAGTAATTTAAATGCAATTATATTATACTAATTAGCTTGATTGCTGATGTTGAAAACATGTTCTATGTATATAAATATATTCGAATATCATCCGAATCAAATACACCTCTATTTGTATTTGTTTAATATTTGAATCAAAACTAATATTTGAATTTGAATATTTATTTGAATAACGCAAATTCGAATCATCATATTCGAATACAAATCACGAATCGAATTTAAAATATTTGATTTGTTTACATCCCTACGTGGAACCTTAACGTTAGAGTATTCATTCAGGTTTGAAATTTACGTTCGTAATCATTGTGTTGATTGAATTGCATCATTTGTTTTGTAACACCCTAATCCGTCTAGGTCTGCAGACCCTTTCGGACTAAAGTATTAACTTGGTAATCGTAAAAATTTAAAATATTTCAAACACTTTTATTTATCATAATAATATTTTTAAATAACATAAACAGTATGGAGTTTTGAATGTTGCGGAAGCTTAACAAATCACAATCACAAAACATAATTTATATATGTTCTTCAATTAAAAACCATCACATCCATTTTGACAATCTTGCCTTGGTCTGCCTCCAGGATCACGTCACATCATTCATTCTATTTACCTGCGTGTAGCAAATAAAACATACTACACGCTCAGTGTTGAAGCTGAGTAAGAATATCTAATGCGTCGAACATCCATATAAATTGAATCTCAATTCATAATCAAATCATTTGATATCATGCACATAATGTTTAATTCGAATATTCATCATTCATGATTTTGACATTTTTCAGTTTATATCAATTCATATTATCCAATTTAGATATTCATTATTTTGACAGTGCTCTTAAATTATTCTTAATCTAAGGCCAATGACGATAACAATGCTCTTAGCTATTGTTAGTCTAAGGCCAAATCATAACAATGCTCTTAGCTATTCTTAGTCTAAGGCCAAATCCACATTTTCATAATAAGACTCTTAAATAGTAATCAATAACCACACGCTTAAACTATGATTAGTTTAAGGCAACATATTTCCTGACGCTTAAGTATAGTCAGTTAAGGCAATTAAATTCCAGACGCTTAAACTATGATTAGTTTTGAGCAATTCAATCCGTGACGCTTAAACTGTAATTAGTTTAAGGCAATACATTTCTAGACGCTTAACTGTAATTCGTTAAGGCAACAACAGAATACCTCGGTACCAGCTAACTGTACCTTGGTACCGCCACAGAGGCTTTCGGTCGACGGTAGCCACTACTACAAAAACGACCAAATAATCACCACATTTGCATCGGTCCGCGAAACAAATGATTTAAATGAAAAAAATTCACGTATCGGTAAGCATTTGAATCGGTTAAACGTAATAACCGATTCAAAAGGTTATTTCAATCGATTATTACGTTTAATCGATTCAAATGATGCTAAGCATTTGCATCGGTTAAACATAATAACCGATTCAAATAACATTTGCATCGGTTATTACATTTAACCGATGCAAAAAACCTTGTTGAAATGTGCTTCAGAGCCTCCAATTCATTATCCTTACCCGATTTTGAAAACCAGACCCTCCTTCGTCGTCATATAAGTGCTCTGTCGCCGTCCTCCATTTTGCCGTCGCCGCTGTTCCCACTCCTCGTCGTCCTCCACTTTGCTGTCGTCCTCCACTGCCACCGTCACACTATCCTCCCCGTTGCCAACCACCACCGGAGCCCTCTCCCGCCGTCGCCCTCTCCAGCCGTCGCCCTCTCCTTGTCGTCTTCCTCTCCTTCCGTCTCCCTAGCCCTCGCCGTGCCTTCGTAGCCTTCTTTAAGGTATTTTTTTATTTTTTAAACTTTAAATATTTAATTATACTATTATTTCTTATATATTTGTATTAGGTTAATATTTTATTTACTATATACTCCCTCCGTCCCACTCTCTTTGTCCACTTACCTTTTGGCACACCATCCAATGCACTTCTTTAATCCATTTTATCTTGTAATTTGTATATTAAAAAATTATAGAAATTATATATTAATAATCTATATGTTAAGACAAATCAAACAAAGAGAGTGAGACAGAGGTAGTATTTGAATTACTTTTGTGTTTATGTTTAAATTAAAATGTGACATTGTGATATAGATAGCGTTTGAAATGTAGATTGTTTAATTACCTTTTGTTTGATTGTACATGATATGAGATGTTATAATATAAAAATAACATATATTGACCGACCTAGATACCCGTTTAAAATTTACTCATTAGGAGTAAATTTAAAATAGCTCCCAGTTTGGAGCTGTTCTTGAAATGCTTCTCTCACTTAGGTAGTGAGTGTATTTCCTTCTCTTTGTTCTGTCATTTTTTGGCAATACGTTTCCTTAATGTGTTCTTCAGGTGCATATGTAATTACGTTACATCGCGCACTTGGAGAACCATTGGGAAATGCTGCCGAAATTTTGATAGGTCAAAGAAAATGAAATACATTTACTAGTGAGGGTGGCATTTCAAGAATGGGTTAGGATGGTATAAAGAAGGACCATTTGTATACTGAAGAAGTGCTGCCGGACTATCATAAGAAATAAAATATTGTGTTGCCTGCATTTCTTATATGTTTGTGTGTATATATAAAATGAGCACGTCTTAATAATTTTGTTGTGCATTGTTTTGCATGTATCAATCATTAGAAATTCATATCATGGATAGAAGTTGGATTCATATGTCGCGTACATCACCTGAGTTTAGTTCTGGTTTGGAAGAGTTTATTCGTTTCGTAGAGAAACATTCAAAAGAAGGAAAAAAGCTATATTGTCCTTGTAACTCATGTCCTGTCACTTCTCTAAATGGACATCACGTCCGCCCTGGCAGTGTCATCAGCAAATCAAGTGGTAACTCAAGATTATCTTAAGGTTCTTGCTGATAATCAGAAAAAGGCATTCAAGCTCTTCAAGCACTTTGAAACCTTCACTGCCAAACACAAGCTAGAGGTGATTGTACAACACAAACGTTTACCTGCAATTCCAAGACTTCTGATTCAAGCAAAATAAGGAGAGCTCGGGTACATTCCAACTCATTTGAACATGACTGAACTGATATTATAGGCCCAGCACAGCAACCCGAAAAACTCGATTCAACATCTATCAAACAATGAGTTTGACGGAACAGAAGCCTTAGGAACCATTGCCTCCCACTTCACAAATGAAGCTCAGACAAAGGAAAGATATGACAATCTAAAGCGCATCAAGGCTGAATGTGGAGTGATGCAAGGAATTGGAGAGGCTGCCGGATCTGCCCAGCGCAAGAGGAGTTGAGGGCTCTTTTCATCAAAACAGGGGGAAGTCTTGAACACATTATTTATGTTTTGATGAAAACACCTTCTTGTTTAAACATTTTTTAAACATCTCTTAATTATACTTGAACATATTTCTCTTTAAGTATAAATTTTTGAGATTTACTATGCGTGCATACATTCAGGGGGAATGTAATTCAGGGGGAACTTAACTGTTTTTGGCTAATATTTGTTTTTGGTAATGAACTACTGATGAACTCTAAGCAATGGAAGACGGATACCTCAAATTTTGTACTAGAGTTGGAGACCTCCGATTCAGGTATTCTACAAAATCTGCCTTCTAAAATTGAGCTTCAATCCTAAGTTCATTTCCACTCTTGCTCTAAAGAACGGGTCCTTAGGATTTTTAATTGTACAGGACTTTGGAAAATTAGTACCACTTTTCTCTTAAAAATAAAGTTTATATTCTTTTTCTGTTACTACCTCGTCCTAATTAGAAATTAGAACTTTAGGAAATGAAAAATGATAGATTTTATTTTGGGCCTTGAGAACCCAATAGGAATAATTTCCCTTTAGTGCATAGATTTTCTTTTTGGGCCATTCTTTTGGGCTTAGCCAAACCAAAACAGTTACGTTTTCAAACCAAACGAAACTGGTTTCATTTGAAACAGTTTTCAATTCATTGGTAACCGATAAAAGATTCTTTCAACTTTTCAAAATTCAACTTCTTGGAAGTTGAAATCTATTTACTTTCACCGTTCCAACCACTCACTTAATGGAACCCGTGAACCTCCTCCTATTTAAACCGAGCCAATCCAATCTATTGCTATCACAAACAATTCTCTTAATATGAAAAGTCTTCAATCTCACTGCATGAGAAAAACACCTAGAAAACTCTCTTCAATGGAAAAGTCTATCTTCCTCACCTTTATAGACGGCATTGGAGAAAGCCTGGTGGGAAGAAGAAAGGACATTCAAGGTCTATGGTAGGAATCTCGGCAGTAGAGAAGGTTTTTGGTGAGAATCTTGCATTCTTGCGTCTCGCCACACACCTTCTCTGGATCAACACTCTCTTTTTTTCTTTTCAAAATCTTTTTCCTTTTCTATTTTTTGCTCTTCAAAACTTTATTTTTTTTCTCTTGGCCTACTTTCATCTCTCCCCTTTTATTCATTTTTTTAAATTGATTTCAGGTCTCCACTTCTCCTCCCTCTTCCCCTTTTCCTACTTCTCCTCCCCTCTTTTTAAAACAGCTGTGATGCAAGCCTCTCTCTCTTCCCCGGCTTGTCCAAAAAAAAAATTTAAAGCATTTTTTTCCTTCTGTTTTTTTTTAAAAAACTTTTTCTTCCCTAGTCACCATATTTTTCTTTAATTTTTTTTTTCATATTTCTCCTTTAAACTCTTTTTCAAAACCCTTCTTATATCTTCCTTTCACAATCTTTTCTCTTTCGCAAAACCTTTTCTTGTTCTTTCTGTCTTTTTCTTACATTTCACAGCCCCTCTCTCCTCCCTTTCTAAAAACAATTTTCCTTATTTTTATTTTCTTTATTTTTGGAGAGATGTTGGTTCCAAGATCTCAATGTCCACTTTGGATGTTGAGATCCATCAAACACAATGTCATATAAACCTTCATGCAAAATCAGCTGAAGATAAAAGCAGCAAATGGCAGAAAAATCACAAATATCAAGACAAGACTTGGTTTAGGAACTGTTATAATTTCAATTGTATTTTGTTTAAGAGTTTTTGTTAACAAGCTGTATATTATGAGAAACTAAAAGAAAGTTATAAAATTAGTTCTCAATACAGTGACCGGAAGTCTTAAACACTTGTTTGTGATCATCAAAAAGGGGGAAATTGTTGGGAAAAATATTATAGATTATGATGATGATGTATTTAGATTGTAATAGGGACTTTAGGTCACCCCCAATATTCAATGTAATTTTTCTTTTTAGAAATATTGTTAAAACCGAGTTCTTGAGATTTCCAATAAAGTTTGTGATATTTCACTATGTGGTTTGATGTCAATCTTTGAAGACTTAATCAAATTCAGTGATATGGAAATTGGAATTCTTGATCGGAAATGTCAGAGACAAGTAAGGAATTCTCAAAGCAGTTGGTACTTTGAAGATTTTCAAATCCGGAATACTCTATGATACCCGGACGTCTCGCAACAACCCGCTGAAGGCTAACTTATCCGGATAGGAAGACTAGCGCAGATTTCTTTCTCACCCGGAAGTCTAAGAATGACTAATCCGGAATCGTCAGCAAAGATCTGGATGTCTCAAGGAAGACCGGAGTTCTCAAAAGCAGACTAGTGAGAAAAGACTTAGAAAAAATGTCTAAGTCATGAATGAAGAAATTCTACCCGTTGGTAAGGAAAAATCAATTTCTTGATTTTTAACGGCTAGATTGAGGATAATTAAGCTGATTCAAGAACAAATGACTTGAAGACAAAGTCTAGACTTCTCAAATTGAAGAGCTCGCCCAGAATTCCTAAACAAATACTAGAAGACAAAATGGGTACTCCACTCAATAAAGAGCTATATTCCAGAATTCTTGAACAACAGCTAGAGGACGAACTCTGTGAAAAAGGAATCCTTCTTCAAACAATTGGGTATGTCCAAACACTCATTCCAATGAATAATCCTCAATCTCACTCCTCGTTCAAATTGAAACCAGAAAATGCAACGGATAGTCTATTACCTTCAACGGATATATTATCCATCCAGCTATAAATAGCTTCCATGGAAGACTGGAGACATAACGATTAACACAATCAATTTTTCATAGTTAGCCAAAAGGCTTGATAAAGAGAGATTTCTAAACTCCTTATCCAGAAGCAAACTCCTCCTCCTTCTAAAGAGCTATAGTGTAAACACTTGAAGGTCTCCTTGCCTCAAGAACCACACCACGTTGAAGGATACAATTTTTAATCAAACTTCTTGATTAAAATGGGGCACATCAACTTTTCCACAAGTTGATCTTGCAAGTCCTATTGTTCGGATCTTGCAGCTGTTGAAGAAGCGTGACCTTCGAAGGAACAACAAAGCCAACACGAGTGCAGTAACAACATTGGTCTTGCGAAGATATACCTTGCAGAAATTCACACAAGTGTAATTATTGGTTCATTATTCAACAACCAACTACATAGTGGATTTTGAGGACGTAGAAGGATTACCCCACCTTCGAACCTCGTTAAAGTTTGCGTGTCTCTCTCTTTTTTTTCTTACTTGCAATTATATTTACTGTGAAAACTAACTCATCCATATTGATTACTGCTCACTCTACCCACCAACTTCCGCACACAATCTAAGTTCACAAGAACTCTAGATTAACACTCATTTTCACGTTTTCAAAAGAAACGAAAAAGTTTTTAAACTTGTAACAAAGTCTATTCACCCCCCCTCTAGACTTTGTATCTCACCACTTTGGGACCAAGTGTCGTCGTTATAATCTTATTTATTATTTTTTTAAAACAAATTTAGAATTGTATTCTATTAAAAATTCATTATAACATTTAAGATATATTTCAAGGCGCTACACTTTAGTTCAGTTTGTTTCTATTTTAAACTTTAAGAATGTACTCCAAGACTAGTGTTTGCACCCTAGGCTAGTTGTTAGCCTATGTGCCCACGCCTTGGAGGGAGGGGGGTGAATAAGACATTTAAATAATTTTATTTATTGAAAAGTAATGGGGCATCTTAGAAAAATAATAGGGTTAAAATAAATTCAGAGTAATAAATGCAATAAAGGAAAGCGTAAAGTAAGTGCACTGTATTTAATACTGGTTCGGGAACTACCTACTCCAGTTCCCTAAGGCTCCTCCCTAAGGATTCCAATCCGCTAGAATGCCTTGACAGTCTCAACACGATCGTCACAACGGAACTAGTTTTGGCATACAAACATTTGCCAATAGGTTTACACTAGATAGGCAATACTTCACGTCTTGAAGTATCTTCATTTAGCCAATGCATTATTGACAATCTGAAAGCTGCAGAAGAAAGATGGGAGGAGGAAGAAAATTCTCAGAAAGAGAAGCTCTTCATTTAGCCAATGCATTATTGACAAAGGCCATAAAAACTGAATTGGATTACTGGTACCAGAAAGCCAATATAAAATGGATGGCTAAAGGGGATGCTCCTACCAAATTTTTCCATTCATATGTCAAAGGGAGAAGAAGGAAATCAGTCATAACAACAATAAGGGATAGTACTGGAAGGAAGTATCAGGATATTGAAGGAATTACAAAAGCCATTGTTGATCACTTTGAGGGTGTGTACACTACAGAATACAGTGGGGAAATGCAACCTATCTTGGATAACATCTCTATTGTTATATCTAATGAAGATAATAACATGCTAGCACAGATTCTTGATGCAGATGAGATTAAAAGAACTATCTATTGGGAAACGAGGCTTGGATAACGCAGCGGAAAACAAAAATTTATAGTCCAAAACTCGATTCCACCCAAGAACAACTTACGTAAATTACTAGCTATAGTAAGAAATTTACCTTAATGGTGAAAACGGAGAACGGAGAAACGGTCGGGGATGGTTTTGAGGAAATGAACGTAGCGCCAAACATATGAAGCCTCCAATGTATCCACACGAACTTGCTCCGGAGTCCTAAATTAAACTTGTGCTTGCAAGTTTAATATATGATAGTAAAAACTATAATATTACTACTTTACGGAGTAATAAACATATAGTAAAAATATTTATCTTATAAATATTTCTTTATAATATTTTGTGTATATTTCTAACACTTTAGAAAGAATACTTTTTAACACAAAATAGAATTTTCTCTCTCTTTGTTGATATGGCCGAAAATAATGCTTTTCAAATGGGGTGGGATTTATTTCATTTTATAATACTTAACTTAATGTAAACACCCATGGAGCTTCCTTGAGACATTAAGGGGTGATAATGAGGTTATCAAATATTATGTCTCTAACCACCATAACAAAACAAAATAGAATCCCTACATCAAATAATAATCAAATATATCAATTTGACATTAAAAATACTTTATGTATAAAACCAAAATGGACTTGTATTTTTCCCTTTGAAATTTTCGGCCATCCCATATTAAAACTTATTACATTTTATTTTGACATCAATAATTATCATATAATTAAAATGATGAAAAATAAAAAAATTATATATATATATATATATATATATATATATATATATATCGATGCTACATATATATATATATAATAAAATTTGTTTTGTCAAAATATAATTATCATATAATTAA